AATTTTCTAACATTTTATATATATGCCTCTATAATCTAAAATAATACATACTTCCCACACACCCACACTTCCCGTGCGAATGACCTGCAAACTTTCTTCTCCTGCTTAAGGGGCTGATGGTAGCAAGAAATAATTGAAATGTTCGATTTAAGCGAAACACTGTAATTTTACATGGGTACCCGGTTTTATCTATACCCATAGGATAAAACTGAGTACTGGTATACCGGTCAATCATACGGATTTTGACGAGGACTATTATAATTATAATACTTTGTTGTGACATGCATATAACAAAAAAAAAACAAAACAAAAAAGAAATAAAAATATTAAAAATGGGTGGGTGGACCCTAATGATCTTGAAATATTATTCTGGAGAAAAATAAAATACCGTTCACATAAAGTCATGGATCACAAGGTGCAACGGGTAAGAGAAGTTTATGTCTGTTATCTGTGCCCACAGTCTTATATTATGTTCGCGACGGTAGACATTTAAAGAACTTCGACTAATTTTTTTTCTGATAGAATTTGGAGAGGCACACTAAATTTTTCTATTAAAGCTAATTGTCCTATATCTTATAGCATCAACAAAATTTATATGCACGATGACCTAAGTAAACAGCTTCAAAACCAACCAACCAGAAGTTATCTGTTTATTCCCGGCTCGGAAAATAGCAGTTAGGTACATTAGGTTTAAATTCTATTATTGTTCGTCTATCATTAAAGTTTTACTGCAAATGTGATAATTCGATAACATGAGTATTTATGCCACCGGCTCTCTTACTAATTCGATGTACCGTCGAAAACAATAGAACGATGTGCCGCATATAATCATTCCAGTAAACTCAATAAAATTTCGTATGCTTGCTTTTTGTGTATTGGACAGTATTTTATTTTTTTCATGGTCGGACCGCCCGTTCTTATTACGTTTCTTGTTATATGTACGGCACAACAAGTAATTAAAATAGGCCTCGTCAAAATCTATGAGGACGTCACACAGACAGGTTCACCTGGATACTACAAAATCATATTTCCCTTTGATCTAACAATAAGTATCATATTTTTTAAGAAGAATAATTTTCTAGTTGTGTAAGGAGCACTTAATCTTCTTTACTTTAGATCTTCTTTAGATCTTTTCTACTATGAAAGTGTATTAGACACCCGGTTTTACCCCACTTTTCTCTGATCTATAATAGAAATGAATAATATATAGATATAGATATAGATATAATAATAATATAAATGAAGTTCACTTAAAGATTTTATAAATATTAGTGTTTTTTTGCGTTTGGGACATTATCATGTTATTAGTCATATTTGATTCAGATTGTGTTTCGAAGTATCGTATTTGATACATAGCATGCATTTATATTTTTGGAAACCAATTCTTCTTTATTTTTTTCTTTTTGGTATACCTATTTTCTTTTTTTTTTGGATTACTGTTATATCATTTTCGTCGTTGTGTGTTTCAAAACTGTGATCATTCTCATTATTTTTTAAACCATTCAATAGCATTTTTAGCTTTGTATTTCATATAATAGCATGAAATAGATATTGATATTTTATGATCTTGCACTACATCCGTTCCTTCGTGTCTAATGTTTATCATTTCTTCATTTGAACTTTTTATAATATATCTTTTGTGATGTAATTTTATGGGTTTTCTATCTCGTAGCGTCAATCCTTCAATAAGTACCTACGTCAATTTTTTTTAAATTAATTTCTATTATTAACAATTCAGTGATGAGTGATAAAATCGCAGTTTCTAGAATCGGTTATAGCTATTCTCCTTTACAAGAAGATTTTATTAGATGTGTAAAAGAAGAACTGATTCTGAGTTGACATCGCAGAACCTTTTGAACAAGGCTCTAAGTCTTCATGACATGACTCGTTCCAAATTAGTTGCGATATTTACATTTATTATATTATATTTACATTTGTATTACATTATATTTACATTTACTTTTTTTAATAAGAAAAATAACGTGCTACTGATGAAGTAGCTGAAAATTACAGATATATCAGAATACAGTGCAGGAAAGGTACTGTGACAATGCGATTTTCAGCGACTAAATTAACAATTTTGTGATGAAAAATTAGTATTGCGACATTTAAATCCATATCGAAGATCAAACCGGCTCCGTATTCCTAAAGAAAAGTAGGTTAATTATCACTCCTTGCTCACGCATATTTACTAACGAGCTTACGTAGAACAGATCGTCGAATCGATTATATAACAGTGCAGCGAATACGAGAGGAAATTTACAATTTTATAAAATTCACTGCACTCGAGCACTCTAAATAGCTCTCTCACTCGACGAAACTTTTGCTATTGGATGCTATTTAAGTTATAATTATGTAGCATCCTCAATTAACAAATGTTAAGATTTGGACTCGCGAAAGACCACATGCAATAATTTCGAAGGTTTTATCGAGAATGGGACTTTTACACCAATTTTTGGATAAAATGTTCGTATTATCGTGAATAGAATACTCCAAAATATTTACCCTGTTACGTTTTGTTTGACTCCTTTGGTTGTGCTGCCGTTAATTTTTGAATTCAGATTAAATTGTAGTGTTGTCTGTTGTTTAATGCGATTGGCAATTAAACTCCACGTTTCGGCTAACCTGCTACGCGCAGGAGTACTGGCACGGGAGAGGATTAAAGTTGATGAAAATAAATGTTCGCTTAATCCTATTGTATTATTAGACAGGTATTCTTCATAACAAATGTTTATTCTAATGCTAATTGGATATTGACAGAATTGTCGTTGAGATTTCGAATACTCGAAGTTACAATCGTTCGCAATACGTTTTCACTCTTATTAATTACAAGATTTTAATTTGATTGATTTTCAATAATTTACAAATTGACAAATACAAACACGTCGATTAACAAGCCTAACAAGAACACTGGGAACTAATGAATCAAAGAACTAAAAGCTTCCTGTTCCTCATGGGCCACCTCGTTCTCCAGATTCAGCATTATTGCAATTTTTTCTTTGCTGAGTCTCTTTGCTGAGTGAATATCGTTCATAGCTTGGTTTCATAATTTATATCCGTTGAATGTTAACGTTAAATTGAGTGTACTTTCCATCGCTTATGATCAAAAATAAATTTCTGCCGAAAAGAAGAGATTTTTGCTATTTTATTGTGTTTACTTACGATTTCGAATACTTATCGGAGTTACCATTGTTTAAAAAGCAACCGAAGTGAAATGCATCGAATTGAATGTGGCTTTTATCATTCGAAATGGAGAATTATATGTAATTTTAGGGGAAACTAGGGACCGAAATGAGGAGCAAGTTTGGGATTGTTTAAATAGCGAGATAGAAAGGGGAATATAATGTGTACATAAATGTATAAAGTGCAACGACGTAAGGACTCAGACGTAAGCAGGACACAGCCACTGTCCCCCTATGTGAAGCAATCAGATACGAAGCTGTGCTGATCGTTTGAAATAACGTCGACGACGAGTACAAGTTCTTTTTTTGTCGCAATGTTCTCGAATATCTTACCCATGACATTTAATAGAGATATCGATCTGTAATTAGTAATATCAGTATTCTTATTCTCGCCGCATTTGTATACTGGCGCTTGTTTTCCATTGACTGGGAGAGCAGCCGGAAGTTGAAATAAACCCTAAACAAAATGAACTCATAATTCATATAGAATATTGATAACCAGGGATCTCATCTTCACCTATACTCTTGTTGATGTTCGGACGTTCACTATATACATCGCTAATGCTAATAGAGAATTAGCTGTGCCTAGAATACTAATACAGACGCGATTGGAAGTAGCATCATTTTTAGAATTTGTATAGACTGTCTCGAAGTGATCCGCGAACAAATCAGTTATAAGTTACAAGACAATTAGATTTGAGGTATCGTGTTGAGGTATATCCTATCTAAGCATATAATAAGTAAACGGAGAATCAGCTTTACTACTATATAAATGATACTATATGACAGTACTTGACAAGTAAAATGGCTTTCGTTGGTTCTTGTCTCGGTCACCAACAGACGGATTTCTGTTTTACCAATCTTAAGCACCAATCTAACAATAAAATTGATAAATTAAGTTTTCTGAAATCATACGACAAAGTGTTCATTGCCTTACGGACTATTACTTTCGAGTTTTTGATTGCGGGATATGAATGCAGTATAAATTCTAGAAGAATCTGCATTTTTTATTTGCAAATCGTGTTCATTCCCTAATATTTATCCTACTATCCTATTAGCAGAGTTTCAAATAATACATGCACATTTATTTTTATTTATTTAGCGGCTTCCACTTCTTATTTATGTTACGACAAATTATGTGTTATACATTTCAATAAAGATAAGATGAAACGAAAATTAAGTTGAAGATTTCAAGGTCAAAGCCGATTTTTCGATCATTGTTTTAACAGATCTCCGTCAATACGAAGGTGTAGAATCACTTTCCAATAGTATAATAACAAATAATTTTAATACACCCTGTATAATATTCTACTCTATATCTTCATGTGTGTATTTGTAGATTTGTAGAAAAAACTTCATTTTATGAATCTATCTTTACTGAAATCTGTAACATAAAATTCGTTGCTATGTTTTAGAGCTTGCTGACCTAAGCATAATACATATAATTCAATAAGATTGTTACCAATCTGATTAGAATTTTGCTATCATTATACGTTGGTATTCTAGGAATATATTTTGGCATACTTACGTCAAAAATAATAAACTAAACTGTTTTTATCTAATGTGCTTATTTAACCAAGAAACGATATTAGATGGTGAATAGTATTAAATAAGTTTGAAATATAATAGTAGAAAATAGATTTGTAACATAAAATATTGATGGTGTTTGTGATTAAATGTTGCTTAAGAACTTATTGTGATTTCCTTTCAATTTTATTATAATTATTTCTATTTCAAAGTTCTATTTTTTGTTAAAGTTATCATTTATAGAAGAGTATCTAAAGAGATTTTTTTAAATTATGTGGTTGGTGATTTCAGGTGATTTGCCTTCAAGAAATGCAAGAAGAACATTTGGAAGAATTTTTGGTTCCGCTCCGGGAGTTAGGTTATAACTATTTATATAAAAAACGAACAAACGATAAAAAAGATGGATTGCTATTCCTATATCGATCTGATCAGCTTATTTTAATAGACTATGCAAAAGTTGAGCTTTATCAATCTGGTATTGAATTGTTGAATAGAGATAATGTTGGAATTATTGCAAAACTAGCAGTTAAAAAAAATCCTGAAATACAATTGGTGATTGCTACAACCCATCTGCTTTACAATCCGAGACGACATGATGTGAGATTGGGACAAACTCAACTTCTTTTAGCAGAAATTGAGAGGATTGCTTTCCTGGAGAATACAATGTAAGTAATTTATCTTATTTGTTTAAGTTTTTATTCAAGGAAGGGCAAGCAATACATTTTAAATTACATCAGAATATTAAGTAAATAAATAATACGGAATAAATATTTGACTTTTTATGATATTTACATTGTAAAACTTTGAAAATTATGTTACGGAAGTGAAAATTACTAAGTGTTGCTGTTCAGCAAGCTCATCGTTTTTTCAAATACTTTCGCTAATACTTTAACTGTAGATACCTTTATCTTTACAGAAAAAAGACTAAAACCGATAAGTCTATTGAAATTTATAACCAGACAATGTTATCAAGTCTTGAAATGAATTTCCTGAATTTCCTGATTCGTTCTAAAAGCTAGTTGCACGGGTCTGACGATCGACTGCTTTGGAAGCAGTCTAGGACTAGACCACGATCAAATAAATGATCATATGATCATGTGATTGTGGTCTAAATGCAAAGTCAATGCGATCTAATTGTGGTGGACAAGTTCATTTTTATTAAATATGCTTATTTAAAAAATATATTCTTACTTGATAAAAATTAATGAAGATTAATAAAAACGTATACATTTTTTAATAACAATTAATTATTATTAAATATTATTTTAAAAATATGTTTCTATTTAAACTAGTATTCTCGTTAATTTGTGGAGTTGAAGTATTGTTAAATTCCTTAAAAAGATGTAAAAAAGAAAAGAATCAATTTTTACATAGGTTCGCACTAGAACGAAATTATTTCCTTAATAACCATTAATAGAACTTAATAACAATTAACTTTTTATGATCGAATTGCAAAACCTATACTTTGATTCTATAATATCGGTTCTGTTTTCGTTGCATAATAAGTAATTAAAATAATTAGTTTCATTTAAAATTCCATTATTTGGTCTTCGTAACTTTATATTTAATCACGTAATCACATCAGAGGAGAAGTGTCCGAATTTCGAAGCTTTAGAGGATTGTAAATTCATAAAAAAAAAGAAAAGAAATGCTTTTAAATTAAAGTTGTGAAATTTGATTTTCACCACAAATTACCAGATTTCCAGATCATTGTACAATGGGCGGTACGATTTATAACAAGCCGACGATTTATATTCCAGCAAAGATATTTTTGAGAAATCAGTTTTATACCCATTGCTGTAAATACAAACAAATGCATATATTTTTTCTTTTAAAGTCTTTTTGCCAGTCTGAATAGCGTTCATGAGAATCATAAATTCCGAGGTTATAAATTCAAAGGTTTAGCGACCACATCAAGTGCCTTGTACTTGGAAAAAGTCCCGCTGCGTTTAGTATAATATGTATATTGTTGTCTGTCAAACGAAAAGGTCGTGCGTAGTGAAACCCAAATCAGTTTTCTTAATGAATGCAATGTAAATTTACTTGTGCCGATATTAAAAGAAATACTATTAGCACTTTCGACGATTAAAAAAGAAAAGAAAAACAAATAACAGAAATGTGCTTTTGTCGAGAAAAGTTATTATTGCAATATATTAATCAGAAACCATTTGCTGGATGATGCAACATATAGACAGCTTTTTAGATTAAGTAAAAATCAAGTAGATTTTGTTTGAAATCTTATCGGTAGTAATTTCAAGAATGGACACGTTTTTATTGACTTTTATTAACTGAAAATGTATTTTTAAAATAAAGGTATTTAATAACAATTAATAGATATTAATTCGATCGCCACAATTGCATTTCACCGAGTTTGTATTTAGACTGCTTCCGAGATGGTCGAGCGAGCGCTAAACGCAACGTAACGTTTGAAACTCGTTTGTCGGAAAATAGAAGCATTTCTGGCCATGTTATCGATACAGTCGTATGTTATGTACATACCACCGCGTGGTATGTGTATAAATACAAGTATCAGACGCGTACATCGCAGCGGTGTCGTTATGTGATTACCCCATATGGGTGATGTTTATGGGAGATTTAAAGTTTATTGAGTCCAAGAATACAGTTTTGGGTACATATTCACAATAAACGGTGAATTTTTGTAATGGTATGTTAGGCAAAGGTACCGATACGCGGCGGTACGACGTAGCCATGCTGTATTATGTGTCGGAGCTTTACATTTTTCGTTGTATAATACAATTTTTGGGTTTAAGCCGCTGGGGAGCGGAGCTTTTTTATGTATTTTTTTTTATTTTTTTCTGTCCTGAAAACTTGGTCGCAAAACAGGATGCTTCGGTAGTTTGCTTTTTGGGTGCTGTGTAACTTTGGGGAGGGGTGGGATGAGAGGGATGGGGCAGGGGGGTGTCAATTGGGATTATTTACAAATATTTACAAATACTTACAAATATTTACAATATTTACATTTTACACCTGTGTTCTGCGGTGTCAGAATTGAATTCTGTCGGTTTAATGTTCTCTCTTATCGGATCGGTATGTACTCAGGCAAGCCCTGATGCATTTTCTTTCGAATATGCGGATTTCTTCCATCTGGGAGGCTGATATGTTGTACCAGATGGGGCAGCCGTAGGTAATGATCGGTCTGATTAATGCTTGGTAGCATAGTACTTTACTTTGCTGTCGAGGTGTTTGGAGTAGAATAGTCTTTTTATTCTCCAGAATGCTTTATTGGCCTTAGCAAGTTGGGTTTTGGTGTGCTGCTTGTAGTTTAATTTGTCGTCTATGTTTATTCCTAGGTATTTTACGCAGTTTTTGTGTGATATGAGTGCCCCTTTGTTTGCTTTTTCTCTTACTTGGAATTTTCTGCAGTGTTCTCATTCTGTTGGGCCGATTTCACTTAACTTGGGTCTGAACAGTATGGTTTCGCAATTGCTTGTGTTGATTTTTAGTTTCCATGCGTAGTAATAGCCGTTTATTTTTTCGAAAAGTTCTCGCAGTTCAGTTTTTATTGTCTTAGTTTTGCGGCCTGTTACGTAGATGATTAGGTCATCTGCGAAGGCTATGGAGCGTTCGTGGGTGGATGTATTGTTTTCCCTATTTTTCTTTTTATGTGATAAATTATTGGGGTGTTGTTTTGATCCTGGAGGTAGTTTTTTTCGTCTAGGTATAGGAAAGCTTCTGGGGGGATGTGGCCTGTTGTCCGAGTGTTTTTGTAATATGCGTTGTTAGGAAATAGGCAACTGAAGATTAAGCTGTTTTCTTTTATTTTTGCCGCTCGCGCGAAGTGGTTTCTTATTAGCTTTAGGATGTGACAGTCGATGCGGTGAATGTTGGCTGGGTCGTATATTGTTTTGTTTTTTACATATTTTTTGAATCCGCTTTGTTCGGATTTGTAAGTACTCGCGGCTACTGAATTAATACTATTTAGTAGTATTAGTAGGTCAGTACCCAACCCAGTTTGAAAATTAAGGCCGCGTGGTGGGATATTTTTACAAAGAACTCGAAAACTAAGGCCGAGCGCTGAGTTAGTTGAAATTGTTAACCTTATCCCAAAATCGTTTTAGACTTTTGTTCCTCGTGATAAGTACAAGGCGTTGCTATAAAAAAAAATTTGGTCTTGAAAATTATGTTCAAGGTCAATTTTGCAATTTTTTTTTACAAATTCTCACCAGAGGGATACAGAGATGTACAAGCACGCTATTATAGTGTTGGACTTAATTTTTATACATCCTGTATATTGTACATCATTTCTGCGATAAATATGCGTGTCTGCATATGTATATGTCTAAAGCTAGAGATCTTGTAAATTTTATTTTAAATCTATCAGATGAATCATTTATCCATATTATGGAAGATCATGCCCTTGTTGAAAAGCGATCTCCTGGTATTTTAATTATCCCTTAATTAGTATAATTTTGGAATAAATTTCCACACTTCGACAGCAAAAGCGAAACGGTAGAGGGTGGTAGTTAACGATATCTCATCCGCCTCACCGATGTCAATGACTTTTAAATATGTTGTCGGGGACATGATTTTGAATAACTTTCCTGTATGCGTGTAATTATTGCTCGGCCTTAATTTCCGAGATATTCGCAAAAAAACTGTTGATACCATTAAAGTGAATTCTACCTATAATTGTGCGTCTGTGATAGTGTCACGTAAACTTGAGGGTTGGATGATAAAACAAGAAGGTTGAGACATAACACAACTATTAACTTTCCTTTTATCAAACTTTATTATGAATTTAATAATCACAATGGAATACACTCTGAATTAACACACAAATCACAATTCACTCCAACAACTTGATATAAAACCTAGTTACACGGATGCGTTAAGTACGCGACTGGTCTAAGGGTAGAAACCGGTAGAGATATGTTGACTATTCTAAAAATAGAGAATAAGTAAGTTTAATGACGATGTTGTGGCGGAGGAAAGCTAGAGGTGGGTGTGTTTAAGGACACGGGATCATCGGATTTGTTGATGACAATTTTGGTTGGGAAAGTGAGGGCAGTAGACACCGCTTCCGATTGGATAATAAGAAGGTTGGTGGACCAGGAAGGGTTTTAGCCGCCCTCGAGAGAAAGTTGCTAACGGAAGATACCAAACGTGAGAAAAACTAACTTTCCAATGTCAACCCGGAGTAAACGATAAATGTAAAGGGGCACTTAAAATAAAAGATACTTGTTTGGTCTGAAGGACCTTAACTATAAAAAATGCCAAGATCCATGGTGGATCCTTAAGATTATTGAGGATACGCGCCAAGGATGTGTAGACATTTGGCTACCATCTTACCCGCGGTGTGTGACCTGGTCTCTGATGTGGATTGATGTTACAATAGGTTTACAAAAACCTATGAACAAATGGTAAGAATTAGGTTTAAATTCAGGAACAAAACTGATACATTTCGAGTCCAAATAAGTTCAAACACTATAATAGCGTGACGTTGTTACAGGCGCACAATTATAGTCAGAATTCACTTTTTTATTTATTTATTTATTTATTTATTTATTTATTTATTTATTTATTTCCAGTAGGACATTTGGTAAAATATTATAGCTTAGTGGTATAATAATATATATAACATGTGGATGGCTACCCCCAGTGGGATACCATCTTCGAATTTGATTGATTTATTTCTTTAGTGTGGTGAGTGTTTGTTTGTTAGGTTATGTCCTTTGTGAGATTTGTTGGGTGTTTCTTTGAATTCACTTTAGCGGTACGATAATTAACCGAAATATCGATAATCAACCGTACAGAGGTACATATGTGGACGATTCTAAACACCAAGACGATGAAAATAGTACTGGTATGTTAAATATTGGAAATTTTGGACGATCGCGATCTTACAGTGGTTCTAAGGCAAACTTCTTCTCCATCCCGTGACCTTTAAACAATGTCTCTAGTTCCTATCCTTTGACAGTGCAACGCGTTGGGTTGTTAGTCATTTGTAACTTCTAAACTATCTCACGTATCTCTAAACATAAATTTTAAACAGTTATATTATCGATGCTTCTCATAGCTCAGCGACTTCGAGTCGTCGACTATCAATTTTCCAGGCATTCATTCGTAGCACTCTGCTGAGATCCTTATTGAAATATTGGTTCAATCATAAATTATAGTATGGTAAGGTTAAATAGCGGCGGACTATCGATCATTATATCTTGCGACTAATAGGTATGCGCCATTTCACGCTAAATCGATCACCTGGTCGATGTTGAAAATTTTTATTTAATGAAATACGTAGATAGTCCACATGAAATTAGAGGTAGCGAGATCAATCATTATTTTTTTAAATTAGTTGAAAAGTATGAACGTTCGAATTTTGGAATTTTTGCTCATTTTTATGAAATCGAGGTGCACTAGACAATTTTTGTTTCGGAAATTATTTGTCGGATTGAGTTGCGTTCTTTTTAGTTTTACTTAGAAGGCTTAATATATCCCAATACAATTCTCTTATACCGAAACATTAATTTTTTAATATTGAAAATTATTATTTTGCAAATTTCTTCTTGAAAGTTGCGGATTTAAAAATTTAGAAAATATAAGGCAACATTCCTTGAAATTTCAGTTATGAAAGACTGCTGTGTCTCGGTTTCAGTGTATGATCTGTACGTTGCGCTATGTAGTCGAACACAATGGTATACCTATGATCTATAACCTATACGTATCGTAACCATGAAACACGATCATCGTATAAACAGGTCTCGACACTGGTTGAAAAAATTGAGTTGCGTCTAGTTGTGAAAAATCATGAATCTAGTTGTGAAATCATGTCATGAAAGGTCAACAAAGTCCCCCAAATTCTTACAAGACAGAGACAGATGATTGGGAATCTCTGTCTCTGTTTTAGTCATTTATAGTATGTCACGCATACGCAGAATGAGAACTTTCTTGTCTTCCATGTTGATTTTTCACAACTAATCACGATTTAATTTTCGGACGGTTTTCCCTAGGCTTTGGTATGCGATTGTCGAGATTTGTTTGTATGATCGTACCCTGAAACGCAGCGTATCGGTTTTTTCATTTTTGAAGAAACTGGCGAAACTGTAGAAAAAATAGGTGCCTCTTCGATTTCGATGATTTTTGAATCTGCTGTAAAGCTTAAAATTTTGAACAACTTTTTCCTGTACATGTCGGTCGACTATAGTTTTCGATATATTCGTAAAAATTTATCGATACCACACAATAAATTTTGCCTATAGTTGTGCACCCGTGGCAACAGCTGCGGCTGCATTAGTTGCAATCGGCTGGATAAAATGACCTAGTCAAAATATAACACTTATCATCTGTTTATGTATATAAACGAGGGTGGGACGAGCATGGGTGAAGTTCCGTGCGCAACTGCATATGCAAAACTGTAAGAAATATCTGTTATAATTCAACTAAAAATGAATATCATCAATCGTTGGTTATCATTAAATATTAGTTGGTCTTTTCAATCTGGCCGCCATTGCGTGATTGGATATTAATTCTCCTATTTCGTAAAATAGTATCAATTACTCATTCACCAATTATTTTTATAAAATTTATCTCGCCCAAACATCGTTTATATACTATAAACAAAGTACAGGCGACTGGCAATATTAACGCGTACACTGTTAGGAATGCACAATTATTGGTAGAATTCACTGTAGTGGTATCTATAATTTTTTGCAGATATCTCGGGAACTATAGCCGCTCGACAGTTACGTATACAGGAAAAACTTGTTTAAAATATTGATTTCTATAACATGTTAAAAAATCATGGAAATCGGAAAGAACGTAGCTTTTCTACACTTTCGTCGAGAATTTAATTGAAATATTATTTTCTGTGACTACGTTTTATTACGAAAACATTAATTACGCTCATATATATAATATATCTAATCTGTTATTTTATGAACAGGACGGGTGCCAAATATCTTCCAATCATACTGGCAGGTGATTTCAACTTGCAGCCCCATTCTGGAGTATACAAATTTATTGTAGAGGGAGTATTTGAATATCAAGGGAGGGGGAAAAATCTTGAACGAACTGACTACCGGTCGCTATCGAATTCTCTTATCCCTCCCCGGCTTTGCATTACTGATAATTGTCAACATTTTAATGTCTTAAAACAGAGACTACGTGGAGAAGGAACCGACAAAGTGATGGTATGTTAATAATTAATAAATAGTTAATGGAGGTGAAACTGCAGGAAAACTATCTTCTCTCCGATTTCGATCATTTTGAAATATATTATGTTAATCAACATTTTGAACAACTTTTCCCTATACATATGGTGGGCGATCAGTCTTAGTTGCCGAGATACAGTAGACTCCCGCTTGACCGGCCGCTGTAGACAGGACCTCCTTGGTCGGATAAACGAATGGCCAGTTAATCCGATAACATGTTTCAATTAATATTTTTAAGTAGTTACTGAATTTGTTCAGTAACGTATAAGTATATGAATAAAGTTTATTGCATACACCTAGTACATACATATGTACATATAAACAATGTTTACTAAATATTATTTTTTACACAAAAGTCAGTAATTTCTTTCTGTTTCTTTGATTTAATTTTGTTTATTCATGCAATATCACGCCACTTCTTTTAAAATAAGATATTAATTCTCTCGTTGCTCAACATATCTCATTGTAGTTTCAATTGCAGTTCTTGCTTTTTGCGTGACTCACTTCTTCATTCTTATCTACACTCAAAACTGCTGAATTATTTAATTCTTCATCTCCCATCATCTAATTGCTTGGATAATTTCGTCATCCATTAACATTTCATTCCCTAAAATATTATCATTTATAAGCTATTTAGCGACATCGTCTATTTCTGAATTTTCGCATCCGCCCAAAAGATTGAAATCATTGAGCAAAGCAATATTATTATCGTGATCTGTTCGATCATTGGCACATAGCTCCTTTCGCAACTAGTTTCCCTCGATGAACTTTTTCGCATCAAGTCATAATTTCTTCCATGATGTTAAAAACGTCGATGCCGGGGTTTCTTCAAAAGCAGATACCAATATATAATAACATCTGCGATATTAATTTTCTTAAGGGCGACAGTAAGTCGTCTTTCTTGGTTAGTTATTATTTCGAGTTATTATTATAAAATCATCACCTTAATGTCATCAAAAAAAATATTTCTCGGATACATGGGAGCATTATCAAGGAAAAGAATAGCCTTGATTGACAGTTTCAATCGCATTAATATCTTTAAATATTAATATCTTTGGCTTAACTGTCTTGCCTATAAAAGAATGTAGCAGCAATTTTAAACCTGTTTCATCGGAACTGTACACTTGCCCAGGGCTAAGATTTTTCTTCTGTATAATGTCTACAAATTTCTTTGAAAATTCATTTACAGCGTTTTAGTCTGCTAATTTTTTCGTCACAAACACTTAAATAATGCACACCGTGTTGCTTTATCCATCGTTAAAGACAACCTTCGCTCGTCAAGAATTCTTCGTCGCTAGATTTCTTGCGCAATTGGATTGTTTTTTCTTCTAAAATTGGCCCACTAATAACTTTTTGTCATTCCTGCACGAGTCATATCCATAACGCATCATCAACTATTTCATTTTTACTTTTTTTCATTGAGCATATGTTCGACAGCATTCTTTCTGATTGTATTTTTACGCTAAAGTCTGTAAGATGCACCCAAGCGGTAGTTTGGTAGTTCTGCCTACAACACGTTCTGCGAGCTCGGAATATGACGAACTCGCGTGATTTTGCTTTTACGTTCGCTCGTGATGACGACTGTACAACGAATGACGAGCACCCTCCGCATCACAGCCACGCAGAAGGTCAGAGTTTTTCTCACGTGTTTTCGCTATCTCTTTCTAGAACCTAGGCAATCGTAATCGCAAGACGACGGGACCGCTGGCCTGCACGCCACGCGGATCAGGGCTTAATTTATAGCGCCCTTTAAAGTGTTGACGCCTGCTTTTTCATGGCCAAAGGTTTTTTTTTTTTATTTATTTATTTATTTAAATTTTACAATTTGTCCAGTAGGACATTTGGTAAAATATTATAGCGGTATACTAACATGTGGATGGCTACCCCCAGCGGGTTACCATCATCGTGATAGCCAAATGTGACGAAGGGCAGGCACTCGTCCCGGGCGTTCGAACTTGGCGATTATCTTACAAGTCTTGGAACGATTTCTCCGCCAGTTCTTCAGTGTACTCTTCCCGATATTCAAATCGCTACCTGTCAGACTTGCATGTCCATCATTATCCAAACGTTGCAATACTTTTAATTTTATTGCAATAGTCAATATATTTCGCTTACGCTTACAACACGATTTGTAGTGTACTTCACGTTAAAGCAATAAATGGAAGTAACATTTAAAATGCTTTTGAGATCACTTGAAAGACGCTGCCCAAATGTTCGATAGGACTGATTGACGTAATAAGGAAAGAAACACAATTTCCTCCTTGTACGCATTGCTTCCAATGGACCATACCATGGATGAAGATATGATACATATGTAATACATACATTGTATGTATAAGTTTTTTTATAACGCCACAGATGTACGGAATCCAGTATTCAAAAATTTAATATGAATAGAAAATAAAATTAGTAAAAGAACGACTACTTAAACAATGCAAAAAGTGGCAAAAAGTAAATTTAGTTGAAAGAAAGTGAATAATGACGGAATATCTATCTCAACAATTTTTCTTCTGATCAATGTTTTTCATATTACTAAAAATGTGGCCGATTAAAGCGGAGGCCTAAAGCGGAGTCTACTGTATTAGTAAAAAACTGTACCATTACGGTGAATTCTCTCTGTAATTATGTGTTCATAGCAGCGTATGCGTTGGTTTTGGTTGGCAGCCGCCTTATGCTGGCCGGATAAAATAACGCTTAACTCAAACCTAATTGTTATCGTTTGTTTATAGGTAGTTTATATAGATTGGGGTTATGTGTACTTTATCCAGCCAGCACATTGCGCCGCGAGGCACCCAATACTAACGCATACGCTGTCACGGATTATATCTTTTATAAGCTTATAGGCACGGATTATAGGCAGAATACACTATAGTGAAACCCACAGTTTTTTTTTGTGAACATCTTGTAAATTAACACGTTGGGTGCGGAGTCAATGTCGATATATTCTCCGTTTGGCCGGCGCAAAGAGCTGAGCGCGAGCTGGCCAATATGATGCATAAACAGAAGATAACACGTTCAACACGACTGTTTTGTTTTTCGAGCATTAAAAAGTCGATGTCTAAGAGATGAACAGATGTAGGCAAGCCTCGTAACAGTAAAGACATAATTTGGAAGCAAGAAGTTTCATCCTGTTTTTTACTAAGTTTTATCAAATTCTATTTAAGGTGGTGTTTTACAAAGTTCTTTAGTTGATTTATTATTTTAAAAAATACTTGTTGTCCATAATACTACCATGTCGAGAGGTGATAGAGATACGTCAATCAAATTTATTGTCACCATCGTTCAGTAAATGAAGCAATGAAAGAGACTTGTTAGATACGCAATGGTCCGATGATCAAAATGTAGAATGGTTTAATCTAATTGGCAACCAACCAAATATCATTCCTTTCATAAGTGCATATAATGACAAAAAAAAAAAAAAAGAAAAGAAAGGGAAAATACTACGGAAATACAGGATTGTACTAAAATCGAGGATATTTATAAATTGTTTGCTGCAGACGAAATTTTGGAAAATATAAACACACAAACAAATATCTGTTCTGCACAATCGACGAAGACTTCTAAGCGTTTGGATAAATGGATACCAGCGAATAAAAACTAAATAAAGCGTGTTATGATGTTGATTTTACAGATCGGGCTGATCAAATTTCCATCTGTGAAATTATATCGATCTAAAGACCTTTATTTGCCCAAACATTCCCATGAAAAATAACGAGTATTTCGATCGGTTCGAAACTTCCCTGAGGATGCTGCATTCTGAAAATAATGAAGCGGTTGATACATCCAATCGTTTATCAAAGATTCAATATCTCGTTAATGCTCTAAATGAAAATTTCAAACGATATTACGATCCACAAGAAATGTTGTGTACTGGCGAGTCATTGATCCCATTTCGTGAGCGAATCGTATTTAGGCAATATCTAAAACAGAAAAGCTGTATATATGGCATAAACGCATTCAAACTGTGCTGCGAATATGGATACACATATAGCTTCCTTATTTATACTATATTACAAAATCTGCTGACAAAGAAAATACTTCACTGGATATTGCACTGCATTTATGCAAGGATGTATTTCATAAAGTTCCTACATTTATGTGTCGACGATTGATATAGGAATTGACGAATAAGCTCGTTAAAAAAAATATGCAAAATTGAAACACGGAAAATATATTACTAAAGAAAGTAATGATGGAATTACAATATGGAAGTAGAAGGGTGAACGTGACGTTTTAGTCCTTTCTACAACAGTACAATGTCAGTCCCTAGGATCTGACGGCGCACCCAACGTGTTAAGGCTGACCACCCGTTATATGTATAAGAAAAAATTGTTCAAAGGACAAATCATTTTATCCCAAATAGTTTTACAAAAAAGTTTTATTTAAAATTCAATGGGATTGGTGTTGAAGATAAATTTCCGAACAATTACCTACAATATGTACAATGTACAGGATGTTCAAAAACAGTTTGTCATGGCTTTGGCAGATGCTCCTATACCTTCGGATTGGTAGGGGTTTGTCAAAAAATTGATCTTAACCTCGAATTTTAAGGTCAAATTTTTTTATTGCATCATATAATACTCGTTGCAAGGATTGAAAGCCTCGAAGGAACCATGATCATAACCCTACCTTTCTCTTGGAAAAAATATCAAAGTTTTATTAATTTTAATATCTTTATGTATATATAACTGATTTTATTCGTATGTAATATATTTACATCTCACAGTAGACAAAGCTTACATACTCTATTATTGATGAAGCCGCTGAGAATTATTCTTTAGCACATAAAATGTATTGACAATTGATAAGGTATGTATAATGGAAAACCGTGTACGGTCTACAAGTCCTAGATTGGAGTTAGGTTGTGGTTAGGTTGGTCCATCCAGATTGGTATGAAATTGAGATGATGATGTTTAAGTAGACGCTTCTTTAATTGGCATCCTATTTTTTATATGTATGTAAGTACCATAGCACTATATTTGCATTTGAGTTATTAAATCTCACAGGTGCTTTCTTCTCAATTTTCTAGTATTCCTGTTTTTATACAGGATGCTGGTCAGAAGGTTTAGGTAGTTTGTTATCTTTATTTCGTAACTTTTTTATTTTTTTATTTTCTAAGAAAAATCTTAAAGAGAATTTGACCCTGAAATTTAAGATCAAGGTCGACTTTGCGGTCACTTCTCTTAACGGATCTACATCAATGGAAACTAAAGATACAGACTTACTTGCCAAAGCCGTGACAAATAATTTTTTTACACCCTGTATATATATCGTATTAAGAGTTCTGAAATATGATCGTGTATTGTTTCTATTCGAGTTATATGCGTAATTTACAAAGTAAGAAGGTAAATTGAACATTTAATCTGTTGCAGTTGGAAAATAGCGAACACCACAATGTAGATACTTCAGAAAATAATTCATCAAACGTTTGCGAAGTGAAAGCAGATACAACTGATTTTCAAACAATAGAAATTGCACATGATTATCGTGTTAATTTCTGTTCTGGCACCTTAACTCATCCTTTCCATTTTAATAGTGTATACAAACATCAAAATTGTCACGGAGAACAAGAAGCTACAACAAATCAGGGCAAATGGATCACTGTTGATTATATTTTTTATAGCGATCTGGAACTTCTTGAAGTATATGATTTACCCACAGCCACGAGATGCAACACTTTACCTACAATACCTAATTTTGCAGTTGGAAGTGATCATTTGTGTTTAGCAGCTACTTTTAAACTACGTAAAAGCAAACTTTAGAACTTTTAATATCATGATTTATAATATAGTGAAAAGTTATTATATTATAACCTTGAGACAATTACCTTTTTTACACTATGTATGAAAAGATAATGTAAGTAAGAGATACTGTACAGAATAGCCACGTTATTTTGTATAAAAAAATTAAAAATGTTACTATTTTCCTTTATTGTTATTGATAAATATGGAAAACATTGTAGTTTGTAATGATTTATTACATTAAATGTGACATATATTATACCTTGTAGATTAAAATATTGATCTCGGGTACAGAAACCAAATTTAATACAAAATTATTGTTCTTTAAGCGTATTACCGTTTCTATTACTATATTCGTACAATGGCTACAAAAAGTATTTGTACCATTACATTTATTCTTGCATTTATATACGAATTAATTAGATCCGACTAGAATCAATTTTTTATTATTTAGTAGTATTTTCATATGTATAAATTATAAATATGTGGAAATTTGATATAATTTTTTTTTATTATTCAATTTGTACTTTGCAATTTGTCCAGCTGGACATTTGGTAAATTTTTCTAACTTGATTGCTAAATAACATGTGGATGGTTACCGCCAGCGGGATACCATCTTGGAATAATTTGATACTATGGCAATGAAATGTATGTAGAATCTAAGAAAAAAATGCTTCATTGGAGAATAAGGGTGTGTACCTTTTGTAGCTACTGTATTCCCTAATATCATAGATATTTACATTTACCATAATATTTGGAACAATATATTTAAAAACGTCACAATGTTTTTATAATAAATTCCTTAATTTATACCTTTATAATTATTGAAACATTCGTTTACTTGCTTTCTATTCTGCTAGACACTTATCAAAGAGCGGAACATGATTATGTTCGAACGTGAAGTCAAAAATTTTAGAACTTAAACTCAAATGGACCACAGGTTCCCGTTGTCCAGCCACTCTGAAATTTTGTACATATTATTTTCTTACTAGGTATCACAATCTATGAGAGCAAGACTAACAAAAATTCTAAGAAAATTTTTGACCATACAGTTTTTGATCCAGTGCAAAAAAAATAGAGAAACTTTATCATAAGAAATCATTAATATACTGTGGAGTTTAATTGTGATGTTTCACAATCTTAATCAAACTTAGATGCTATAACGTACTTCCATTGTCAAAATTCCGACAATATGTAAAATTTGTATACGATATGAAAACGAAATATTGTCTGATATTATTAGTAAACATTTCTTATTTAGTGCAGAATTTGGGTTAAACTTGGAGAATTTTCGTATAGCGTTTGTTAAATATTCCAGCAAAGATTTTGTCTGAATACTTTCTTGTTAATTATAATCATTTCTTCAACAATCTAACGACTATTGTGTACACACTACTACACGCGCATGTTACTTGCGAAACGAGAGGACCGATAGAGATTTGTGCTACACACTGGTCATTATTTTGTTTATCAAAAGTGTTTTATAATTCCAACGAATAATTTTCATTATGAAAAATTCAGCGCTATAACGAAATAAATACGAGAATTTGTCTAAATGTAATTTTATATTGACAGAAAGCGATTTAATTTCTAACAAATGACACACATTATTTACTCGATTTCATAATATAGTATTAAAAATTGTATGCTTTACAACTTTTGGCGACTTTGAAGGATTATGAATCGTTAAAGTTGTCTACTGTTTTCTAAAGTTGTCTACTTTAAAGTCGTCATTATGTACATACAAAGAAATAAAATGTAGCAGTTTGTTAAAAAGAAACGAAATTACTACCAATGAAATAAAAAGAATATTTACTATGCATTATGTCGTAATAATTTACGATCTTGCATAAGTTGAACACAATTCTTTGCAACTGCAACACAGCTAGCTGGTGCGTATATCAGCATTGTCACTGTTACATCGAAGACACGGGAAGTGGTGAAATTAAGAAATCACTGGTCGTTTCGTCGCGTCGTTCGAATGATTTCGCGTAGGTTTAAAAGTTTCACGAGTAAGATAAGAAAAATTCAGACATTAGATATGCTGGCAGAGTTTATTATGTGAATTTAACAGAGTGACGGTTAAGAATGTTAGAACAGAGTGTCGAGAGTTGATTTTGGGAAGGTTTATAATACTATGGGTATGGGTTTGGCTCTTATGGAAGGGTGACGCCGGGGGTGTCGCAGTGGTCAAAGGTTTTTTTTTTTTTATTTATTAAAATTACAATCAATTCTCGCGTTGAGAATTTTCAGTAATTAGGTCAAAGGTGGCCATGCTGTTACTGTCTTCTGATCTTGGGATACTGTTTACGTTGTTGTTTTCGATGGCCTGCAGCATGTTCGTTAGGCCCCCTGGATTTTCTATTGCTAATTTATGACTATGTCATATCGGCATACATCAAAATGAATGTTGATGAAGGAAAAAATGTGGAGATCAAAGAAGAAAGATCTTTATCCTTACCGAATGTGTCAATCAGATGGAAAAAAATGAATGGAATTTCGTTAGCATTACAGATTTGCAGAATCTTCCTAATCTAGATAGTATTCTGATTTAAAGAAGTTTTTCGTAAATTCATGTAAGACGGAATGCAGCTAGAAAGATCTCAAAACTGGCAACCTCTTAGAATATATTTTTTTTAAACATTAAAATTCTAATTCTAATCCTGTTCCCTCAGATGCCTTCGATTTACTTTTACGCTTTTCTTATTATACTATAATTATCTGTACAATACTGATGCATAGGTAATGACATTAGAATCTTGGCTGCACGATTCATGGCATAGTTGATAAAAGCTGATACATCACCATAAAATAAGAGTTTCCTAGCGGTCGATGTAGATGCTCTATTGGATAAACAAATCGAGGAAGAGTGACGAAAAGTGATCTCCCCACGCGATAGTCACTCTTAGTCATAGTCTCAGTCTTAGTTCTGGTATCGATAGACCCTTGTGTGACGCGCACGTGACTTCCGTGTGTCCTTAACAATAACCGTAGTAAAAGTAGGCAATAAACTAAAGAAGTCCTTCAACTCTAAGAAAGCATGCTGGAAACAATGACTCGGAAACGAAAAGCTCGGATATTCTACAGAACGGTCGAAGTTTCTTGAAAATAATGTTGTAAGAAATATGCAGATTTCAAAATTCTCACTCGGTTTATGTTATAACACGAACAATGTATGGCGGAACCGTAAAATTGAGCCGTTCCATCTGGTTACTGCCGATTAGAATTACACTTTCTTCGTAACCGTATTACAGTTAGGGGTGGGTACGGTAAACACATTGAGCATGGAAAACGCCAATTCACGTCTTACCTATAAAAAATTTTTACTACTATTAAATAAAACAATAAAAAATAGCAATGGATGCTATAAACAAAATGTTATGAATGTATTTTTACATTACGTGTTTGAATAATACGAAACAGTTATCAATATGTTAGATATCATATTAGTCGCTCGGAAAGTTCGTTCCGATTTTTAAGAAATTTGGTCGCCATAAAAAATCATATTGAAAAGTTTGCTAGACGCGTGTTCGTTCAAGGTTCTGGGATTGCCCGAAGATTGCCTGGAAATATACGGCAGCATATTTTGAAACAAACTGTTGGCATTGAAAAACAAAAGTATCCAAGGAGAAAATGCCGCGTATATACTGCAAACAAAAGAAGGGACGATACACGATATATTTGTAAATTTTGTTTAGTACCTCTGCATCGGGGAAATTGTTTTCAAGTATATCACATTAAAAAACGTTACTAAAAGTATCTTTAAATATGTTCATTGATTTTTAATAAAATATTACACTTGTTAAATGCTATACATAGCATTATATACTTTTTTGAATCTTTTCAATCACTGGAAAAATACGCGGGAATTCAGGCTATATGCTTATCATAGCATACCATCTTCAATGTGTTAATATTCCTAGCTGAAACGTGTTACATTTTTTATAGTCATCGAGGGACAAGGATTAATTGTAAAAAATGTATTGACGATAAAACTCATTTATGTAAAATACCATGACTGACTTTTATTTATGTTTTACATTCATAATTTAATAGCAGACGAATACACAGTATTTTATTGTACAAGATTCATCATATTGAAAAGTGCAGAGCATCGTTATATTAAATTATGTATGCATAATATAACAGAATTTTTATGAACCAACCTATTGTATAATTTAACGAAGAATTATACGACAAAGTGATGTTACAGATATTACATACATAATATTATGTTCTATATAAGTATTTCTGCATCAAAATACTTTTAAAAATCAATGTTCAGCAAAGTAATATATTTCGTTGCAAATATGTCCAATTAGAATCGAATAATACATCTTGAATTTTAATTACAACAGAAAATATTCAATGGCGTTCCATTTAATGTCCTTCGATCAAACACTCCTCCTTATATTAAAATACTTGACAACTGTCCATAATAACTAACAAATTGCAAATACGTATGTATAAAGTATAGTAGATGAAAATTTTCAAGTATGCTGCACATTAAATCTTTCGTAAAAATAAAATGATATGCAGCAAACATAAAATTGCATAGCAAAGATCTAGTTTAAAATATTAATTTTCGTAAATACTCGTAAATAATTATCATTAATCGTATTTTAAGACCTTTTCCATTTGAATACGTTTCGTAAACTATTTTGCAAATATTATAGCATAATTCGCAAATATAAGTGCTAGAAATATAAGCAGCATTTCTCATTTCATCTCAAAAGTATAAAAACATGAATATTGTCCTTCCAACTAGACCAAATTAAATGGACTTTGGCAAAAGGGTTTTGCTGCAACGTACTTAAGTTAAAATTAACATTGAAATTGACGTTCGTACGCGCGAGCGCGTCTATTCATATTTTTATGTCGCAAACGATGTTTGAAATGTAATAAAATAATTTGAATATCGAGGATTATATGCATTCTTCATCACTGTGAAAGTACCAACTAAAACAAATGAATTCATAGTTTTTAAACCAAGTCAGATTCTTTGGTACTGAATGATTTTCCCTATCGCGTTGATACATATAACTATGAATATTCACATTTTAATAACAAAGTATATATGCAACTATTTTCTAAATAGAAAATTATTGATAGTAATCGCATATTTTAAATATGAAAAGAAGTATACGTCATTCTATAATCAAATATTTAATATTTACGACTTCAGATAAATTTTACTCTTTTATCTTTTTATTGTGAAAAAAAGTGTAAAATTTTTAAAACGATGCTAATCACCAATTTTTATTCGAA